TTCCTTTGTAGAACGTAAATTGTTCACAAATTCGCCTCGTGGGCTCTCTCCAAGACGGCCCAAGAGACCCCGAAGACCGCCCCAAGACGGCCCAAGAGGCCCCCAAGACGGCCCCACGACGGCCCAAGATGGCCCCAAGACGGCCCAAGAGGTCCCCAAGACGGCCCAAGAAGGCTCCAAGACGGCACCAAGAGGGGCCCATGAGGGCAACCAAAAATTCAAAACATCTAGCTTTCCGCCCCCACAAGCCCCAGGGGGCCCCAAGAGTGCCCCAAGAGGCCGCCAGAGGCCCCCAAGAGGCCGCCAAGACGCCCCAAGGAGCCCCCAAGAGGCCCCCAGGAGGCCCCCAAAAGACCCCCAGACGCTTCCGTATTGCGAGCCGTCAAGCCAACTGCAATTTGACTCCGCGCATACAGCCTCGCTCTTCCTCGCGGCGTGCTCGCTATCTTGCTCGGCGCTAATGTGCTGCTGCCGCGCGAACTGTTTCGTGCGAGCTGCGAACGTCAACAGCCTCTTCACCCGTTTCGACTCATCTGCCACATCTTTCGCGGTGATGCCTCGCTGGTCACAACTTCCGCACGCTACTTTTGCTCCTTTCGTCTTCCGGTGGTCCTCCACTTGGTTGCGGGTCGAAAGGCCGACCTCCCAGAAGGACACCCCGCACCCGGGCGCACAGCACGCAAGGCGCTCGCAAAACACGCCCCACACCACCGGCATCACGCAAACATTTGGAGCCCCTACGTATCTGCCACCACCCGCGCGCGACACAGCACCCTCACACAAGACGCCGCTGGCCAGAAACTCCTGGCCTCGCAACACTCACAGAGGGGGTCGGCGGATGTGGCGCAAGCCTATAGAATCGACAAGTGTCCCGTGGTGTCCCATGGTGTCTCGTTGAGTGAGATCGATAGTGAGATCGACAAGTGTCCCGTGGTGTCCCGTGGTGTCCCGTTGAGTGAGACCGATAGTGAGATCGATTGAGTCAGATGTTGATTCCCCCCCTCTCCCCCCCCACAACCTCCTTATCACCCGAAGGGTGGTCGTATAGGTATAGGAATATACGCAAAACAGCTTAGGGCTCGAACCCCAGGGGGGGAGGCAATCTATGCAAAGATAAGTAAAGCGCGAAGAAGGATTCGAATCCACATTCAGGGGAGTAATGCTGGTGTTGGTGCCGCAGTCGGTGCCGGCGTCGGTTCACGGCAGATCGCTCTGTACTGGCCATTGTTGGCAGACGCGTTGGTGATCGTGACGGCCCATTGAGTTCCACCAAATCGTATCCAGCATCCTGGCGGCGTCCAATCCCACGTACCCGTTGTCCCCTCTGTCCTCGGAGACGCAGTAATACCCAGCGATGCAACAGCGCTCTCGCACTCCGCCGTGTCCCAAATCCTCCCGGAGACGGGGCAATTTCCGCCAGCAATTATGTAATAGGTCGCCGCCTGCGTAGGGGACATCTGCGGGAATACACTTACATGAACGACCCACGAACCCGGAAAGGAATATAGAACTGTAACGCATGGCAGCGTTTTCAAAGACACCTGATTGGGTGACGGGCAAATGCAATGCTGAATGTATCGATCTCGATGTACCCTGCCGAGGGCTGTGCTGTGCTGCACCGTCCTGAATTGCGATGTGCCATGCCGCGATTGTGCTCTATAGCCTCGTGGATCGAGTCCTCCTTTGCATCCGAGTCCTGACCGAACTGATCTGGATCTGAAGCTCGAGCTGCCTGAACACATAGTAGCTGCCCCAGAGCTGATGGACAGGGGAGCATGTCAGGAGGACGCGCCGCGAAACGTCCCAAGGGATGCGCCAGGCGACGTGCCAGGGGACATGCCATGGGGTCGCACCGCGGGACGTGCCAAGGGGACGCGCTACGGAACGTGCCAATGGATCTGCCACGGGATGTGCCAGGGGCGCGCCACGCGACGTGCCAGGGAGACTCGCCAAGGGACGCGCCACGGAACGTGCCAAGGAACGTGCCAAGTTGCAATGCTGAGTGTATCGATCTTGATGTACCGTGCCGAAATATGTGCTGTGCTGCGCCGTGCTGAATTGCGATGCGCCATGCCGCGATTGTGCTCTATAGCCTCGTGGATCGAGTCCTCCTTTGCATCCGAGTCCTGACCGAACTGATCTCGATCTTAAGCTCGAGCTGCGTGAACACATAGTAGCTGCCCCAGAGCTAATGGACAGGGGGGCATGCCAGGAGGACGCGACGCGGAACGTCTCAAGGGACCCGCCAAGCGACGTGCCAAGGGACGTGCCATGGGGACGCACCGCGGGACGTGCCAAGGGGACGCGCTACGGAACGTGCTGGAGACAGGCGTTTCGCTCGAGACATCCTGCCAACATCCTCAGAATTCCTGCGCGCGGGACGCGGCACGCGCGAGACATCCTCGGAATTCTTGCGAGCGGGACGTGAAAACAAGCATTTCGCCTGAGACACCCTCTGAATTCTGGACCCCCACGAGGCCCCCCTCGAGGCCCCTGCTCGAGACATCCCCCAACTTTGCAAAACCAGCGTTTCGCTCGAAACGTCTTCAACAAATTATGAAAGACAAGCATTTCGCTCGAGACATCCTGCCAAAATTCAAGGAAATCCTAGCAAAACAAACGAATTAGTCGAGACTTCCTCGAAATTCCTGCGCGCGGGACACGGCACGCGCGAGACATCATCGGAATTCCTGCGCGCGGGGCGCTTTTCCGTGTCGCGGTCGGCTCTGCAAAACCAGCGTTTCGCTCGAGACATCCTCAACAAATTCTGAAAACAAGCGTTTCGCTCGAGACATCCCCAACTCTGCAAAACCAGCGTTCCGCTCGAGACATCCTCAACAAATTCTGAAAAACAAGCGTTTCGCTAGGGACATCCTCAATTTTTAATTCGCGGGCCCTACGCGACCGTGTTATATATCGCAAAAGAAATTCGCCGGCCCTACAGCCGTCAAAACCGGGGGGAAACAAACTAAAAGAGAACCCTGGGCCTATGCCCTTTCCGGGAAAAACGCGAAGGCTCCAAGCCCCAAAAGAGGGGCAAGCTACAGAAACGTACGTAACAGGGCCCTCTCGGACCGTCTTGGAGCTCTTTGGGTGCCCTGAGGGAGCTCTTTGGGGGCCCTGTGGACCTGGGGAGGGCCAATCTATAGGCACATGATGGACCCACGAACCCGGCAAGGGATATAGACATGTGGAGCATGGACACGTTTTCATGATACCCAACTGGGCAACACCTCACGAAACATCCCACGAGACACCTCACGAAACAGCCCACGAGACACCTCACGAAACATTTCACGAGACACCTCACGAAACATTTCACGAGACACCCCGCGAAACATTCCACGAGACACCCCACGAAACATTCCACGACGACAGGCAACCACTCAACCAAGGCGGTGTGGTCGTGCTGGGGAGTGGTCGTGCTGGGGTGTGGTCGTGCTGGGAAGTGGTCGTGCTGGGGGGTGGTCGTGCTGGGGGGGTGGTCGTGCTGGGGGGTGGTCGTGCTGGGGCGTGGTCGTGCTGGGGCGTGGTCGTGCTGGGGCGTGGTCGTGCGGGGGCGTGGTCGTGCTGGGGCGTGGTCGTGCTGGGGTGTGGTCGTGCTGTGGTAAGGTCGTGCTGGGGTGCGGTCGTGCTGGGGTGTGGTCTTGCTGGGGTGGGGGGGGGTTTTTTTCGGGTTTTTTTTGGACCTTGGGGGTGTGGTCATGATGGGTGGGGTCGTAGCTGGGGTGTGGTCGTGCTGGGGTTTGGTGTGCTAGTGGTGGGGTCGTGTGGGGGGGTCGTGTGGGGAGTGGTCGTGCTGGGGTGGTGGTTCGTTGCTGGGGTGTGTGTCGTGATAGGCGGGCGTGGTTCGTGCTGGGGTGGGGTCGTGCTGGGGTGGTCGCCGTGCTGGGGGGGTTCGTGCTGGGGGTGCTCCGCACCCTTTGATTTATCGATCGGTCGTTGCTGGGGTTGTGGTCGTGCTGGGGTGTGGTAGTTTGCTGGGGTGTGGTCGTGCTGGGGTGTGGTAGTGCTGGGGTGTGGTCGTGCTGGGGAGTGGTCGTGCTGGGGTGTGGTCGTGCTGGGGTGTGGTCGTGCTGGGGGGTGGTCGTGCTGGGGGGGTGGTCGTGCTGGGGGGTCGTGCTGGGGCGTGGTCGTGCTGGGGCGTGGTCGTGCTGGGCGTGGTCGTGCTGGGGCGTGGTCGTGCTGGGGCGTGGTCGTGCTGGGGTGTGGTCGTGCTGTGGTAAGGTCGTGCTGGGGTGCGGTCGTGCTGGGGTGTGGTCTTGCTGGGGTGGGGTCGTGCTGGGGTGTGATCGTGCTGGGGTGGGGTCGTGCTGGGGTGTGGTCGTGCTGGGGTGTGGTCGTGCTAGGGTGGGGTCGTGCTGGGGTGGGGTCGTGCTGGGGAGTGGTCGTGCTGGGGGGTGGTCGTGCTGGGGTGTGGTCGTGCTGGGGCGTGGTCGTGCTGGGGTGGGGTCGTGCTGGGGTGGGGTCGTGCTGGGGTGGGTTCGTGCTGGGGTGCTCCGCACCCTGTGATTTATCGATCGGGTCGTGCTGGGGTGTGGTCGTGCTGGGGTGTGGTGGTGCTGGGGTGTGGTCGTGCTGGGGTGTGGTCGTGCTGGGGTGTGGTCGTGCTGGGGCGTGGTCGTGCTGGGGCGTGGTCGTGCTGGGGTGTGGTCGTGCTGGGGTGTGGTCGTGCTGAGGTGCCCCGCACCCTGGCGCTTTTCCGTGTCGCGGTCGGCTCTGCAAAACCAGCGTATCGCTCGAGACATCCTCAACATTCGCTCGAGACATCCCCAACTCTGCAAAACCAGCGTCTCGCTCGAGACATCCTCAACAAATTCTGAAAAACAAGCGTTTCGCTCGAGACATCCTCAAACATGATCGACCCACGAACCCGGAAAGGAATATAGAAATGTAAGGCATTGCAACATTTCAAAGACACCTGATTGGGCGACGGGCACATGCAATGCTGAATGTATCGATGATGATGTACTGTGCCGAGGGCTGTGCTGTGCTACGCCGTGCTGAATTGCGATGTGCCACGCCGCGATCGTGCTCTCTATAGCGTTGTGGATCGAGTCCTCCCTGGCATCCGAGTCCTCTCCGGACTGATCTGGAGCGTAAGCTCGAGCTGCCTGAGCAGATGGGAGCTGCCCCAGAACTAATCGACAGAGGGAACATGCCAGGAGGACGCGCCGCCGAACGTCCCAAGGGACGTGCCAGGCGACGTGCCAGGGGACGTGCCATGGGGACGCACCGCGGGACGTGCCATGGGGACGCGCTACGGAACGTGCCAATGGACGTGCTGAGGGACGTGCCAGGGGACGCGCCGCGCGACGTGCCAGGTGGACTCGCCACGGAACGCGCCAAGGAACGTGCCAAGGTACATAGTTGAGTGTATCGATCTTGATGTACCGTGCCGACGGCTGTGCTGTGCTGGGCCGTGCTGAACTGCGATGTGCCATGCCGCAATTGTGCTCTCTATAGCGTTGTGGATCGAATCCTCCCTGGCATCCGAGACCTGACCGAACTGATCTGGATCGTAAGCTCGAGCTGCCTGAGCAGATGGTAGCTGCCCCAAAACTAATCGACAGAGGGAACATGCCAAGAGGACGCGCCGCGGAACGTCAAGGGACGCGCCAGGCGACGTGCCAGGGGACGTGCCATGGGCCATGGGCACGCACCGCGGGACGTGCCAAGGGGACGCGCTACGGAACGTGCCAGTGGACGTGCACCGCGCGACGTGCCAGGGGGACTCGCCACGGGACTCTCCGCGGAACGTACCAGGCAACATGCCAGGCTGCAGTGCTAAGGGTATCGATATTGATGTACCGTGCCGAGGGCTGTGCTGTGCCTGGGCGACCTGGACACGTGAAAACACGCGTTTCGGTCTAGACGTTGTCAGCACATCCTAATGCTAGACATCCGCCTGGGCAACCTGGACACGTGCAAACAAGCCTCTCGCTCGAGACATCCTCAACAAATGCTCATGCTAGACGTCCGCCTGGGCGACCTGGACACGTGAAAACAAACCTCTGGTTCAAGACATCCTCAACAAATCCTCATGCTAGACATCTGTCTAGGCCACCTGGAGGCGTGAAACCAAGCGTCTCGCTCGAGACATCCTCAAGACCTGGGCACGTGAAAACAAGCAATCCGCTTGAGAGATCCTCAGAATTCAGGTCCCCAGGAGAGGACAATCTATAACACAACACAAGCGTTTCGCTCGAGACATCCTCAACAAATTCTGAAAAACATGCGTTTCGCTCGAGACATCCTCAGATTTTAATTCGCCGGCCCTACGCGACCTTGTTATTTATCGCAAAAGAAGTTCGCCGGCCCTACAGCCGTCAAAACCGGGGGGAAACAAACTAAAAGAGAACCCTGGGCTCAGGCCCTTTCCGGGAAAATAATTTCGCCGGCCTCCTTCGACCTCGATATTTATTCCCGGAAAGGGCAGAGG